GTTCCACCGACCACCGCAAGCTCTCTCACATTCACATATAGATAATTAGCACCTTGTATTTCCAGGGTGCTACCATTGAACTCTTTATTCATGAACACTATCGATATCGACACATATGTAGCTGAACCATCCAATGCTGATGTCACATGGACGCCTTGTCCCCTTGCGATTTGCTCTGAACTCCCTTCAAGGCCTTGGGTTATTGGACTATCGATGCCAAACACAGTTCCAAAGCTCCCAAACGTCCAAAGGTGACCGGGGATGCCAGTGATTGGGACAGTGGTCGTATTGGGTCCTGCAAATCGATCCTGGAAATATATGGTCATGTTGGTTTTCTGGAGCTGGGGAAGGACACCTTCAGACTGTGAGTGTGAACATACAAACATTGCTAGAAGCAAAAGTATGGACAGTTTGATTGGTGTTGTTGCTACATTTTGTGCCATTTGGAGATGGTGGCTAACTCAACAACAAAGAATTAGAACAAGAATTAAAGGGTGAAGTAAGTTCTGAACTTGTGATCAAACAGGTGCAGTGGCTTGAATTTATAGAGTTGAGAGGAGAAGAGCTTTTAAGGAATTCACTGTGCAATTATAAGATCACTTTCGGAAGAAAGGAAAAAATGAAAACTAGAATTTTTCAGCTGGAGTAGGACAATGAACAAATGAATATTATCTTTCTTCCTTGTCTCGTGAAACTCCCTTTTATTAGGAAAAAGATATTATACGGCACCAAGGAGATTAATCGTTTTCCATCCCATTAAAAACAGCATATATGTACTTGCCATTATCCTCCGCCTGAGTCCAAGAACTTGGATTTGAGAAATTTCAATGGTTGGTTGATAAAGAATTTAACTATATAATACATTGTCCACAGCTACTTACGGCTGACTTATGCCCTTAGTTTATTACTTAGACATGTTTTAGAAATCAGTGACAATATTTTATTAGTTTTCTTTTTGTATTCCTGTTGTCTTATGCAAAGGGTGAGATAGGGTGTCTGTGAGTGGAGCTGTGTAGAGTAGATGTATTGGCTGCCCCTGTTTGGTAACTAAGAAGCCTAAAAAGGAAGAGAAAAGCAATAAGCTAAAGCATTGAATCAACTATGAATCTTTATATGGCAACGAAACCTAGATCCACACTGTTGCAACTTGTATCAATCAAGCAAGATGACTCAAGAGCTAGCAACCGTTTAATGTAAATGTGAGATTATATGGATACGTGATATACCGGTGGATGCATTGGCATATATGTATATAGCAGGGGCTGTTCTTGCTTACTGATAATGATGGGATTTTAGGTATGAGCCGCTATATATATATATATATATATATTTTATTATTATTATTATTTTTTTTTTTAAAATCTATGAGCCGCTATAATCAAGAGCTCAATAGGTCCAGAAGGCTAGCCCAAAAAATTCACTCACAACCTGTCGACGCCAAGATTGGAATGGACCACGCCCTGAGGATGAAGCCCAACAACATCTGAAGGCTTGAAGTCCAGCCTAGCCTCAATCCAGCTCAGCTGGAAGTCAGCTCAGAATAAAGGAACTCGGTCCATTGTCGATCCTGAAGCACTCCCGTTGGTCCATGTGTTCAGAGGGCACTTCCGACACCCATAACGAATACACACTCTTTGCCACAGAGAATATTGGTGCACATAACTGCTCAAGGACGTGAATGCAGTGGCGTCATATAGAAAAGGTCACTACAAGACAAAGGTAAGGGGGTCCACAGAATCAACAAAAAGAAGGAAAGAACCATAGGAAATTCTAGAAGTATTACTTGTATAAATAGGTCACTATTACCCCATGGAAGGCAAGCAATCATCATCCTCTTAACTATTTTACACAGTAAAAGTTTGTATTCTCTAAACATTTTCCTGAAAAGGCTCTGAGCCAAGCAAATTACTGTAACCCGTCTTCTTCAAGCAATATATACCCCTAAAGAGCAAGATACTCTCTTACAGTGAACGTAACATTAATTTTTCAACTAAGGTGAACCACTTACATAGTGTCTTCACTTTTCTTTTACAGTTTTATCTATTTTTAGTTCATATATTTGCTCTATCCCCTCTTTGGGTCATTTGATTGTGGCTCTGGACCTAGGCCAACATTTCTGAGCACCATCGCTCATATATATAAACCAAAGTTCAACGGGGAGGAAGAATGGGAAAAGGTGAAAATAAAGGCATTGACAAAACACTTGAATTTTCTACAACTTGAGAACTGCTGACACACGACACTCCAAAAGATTGGAGTTAGGATACTGGTTAATGTTAGACCGTCAAAAAAATATTATTGAATAGAGTAATGCTAAATAGACTTGAAAATTAAACTTCATAAGTAGATAATGAGTCTTAATAAATGTTGGGACGCACAGTGAAATTAATTGTTATAATTATCAACTTACTTTTTAAATACATGTAGCATTGTTCTATCGAATAATATAGAGCTTGCATGGCCACGCTGACTAAACTTAATTTTAATCAAGGTCTCATCTCTCGACTTCCAAACATACTGATGAGATCTAGATTTTCATATCAAAATTTTCCAGCTCGTTCTGAATTTTTATGAAAAAAATTAATTAAAATTCATCTTTTTCTCACTCAATATTGTTACATCAAGAATCATTTGGCCCTCTTCGTAGGTCTTATTTTCTGATTAGTCTATTATTGCCTAAATGGATTTTATCGTAGTAATAATCAGTTCCTGTGTTGTTGTTCATAGGAAAACTAATTAGTTGAATCTTTTGCAATGGTATGACACGCAGAAAATAAAAAAAATTATTTTTGTATATCGCTTGACACGTTGTGTGATGTCACGATTGACGCATCTCAATTGCTATGAAGATTTCTAAAGGAAAAGAAAAGGTTTGTTTGTCATTTTCAACTGGTAATGCTGAACATCTCTTGGCAAAAATGGCATCGCCCCTTTGCTCAACCTTAATATATAATAACATGCCATATACATACGTTGGCACTTATATAGGTAATATGGCAATTTGCTGCAGGAGTAACTCGAGATAATTTGCGTTCTAAATGAACAACTCGAAATGATACATTTTTGGTTTTTAATTACGTAAAAGTGTTTTATTTAATATATATGTGTGTGTGTGTGTGTGTGTGTTTTGCTTTTGAGATGTTAATTACTAATTAATTTTTTGTATTCTAATTTTTATAATATATATTTTTTAATAGATATATTACTACTACACTTAATCTTTTTGTGATGTCATTGATTTTAGGTAGCATTTTAATAAATGTAATTTTTAAAAACCTCTCTTTGCCGAATCTATTACTACATGTATTATAAATGACTCAATTGGACTTACAATTTTCTCGCTACTTCAACTTTTATAGGCCTTTCCTTTTTAGAGTTTAGAGCTTCATGCAGCTTAAATTTATGGTTTGGACCATCTTATATATGAGAAAATATTTTATTTTATCACAATATTGTTACATGATATAACTATTCAATAATATGTTAACTCCCAAATTAAGTAATTTTCGGATTTTTGGGTTGACCTAAGAAAAGATGACCAAATCTTGCTGTCCTGGTAATTTCATTAGGCTATTGGAAAGCTATTATACTTGTAAAAAGAGCTCTTCAAACAGCAAATATTTCATTTATTTGTTAATTAAAAAAAACATCACTTTTGTGTTTATTGTTCATGCATGCATATAGGAATTGTTGGGTTCTATAGCAGACCCAAATACATCTTATTTGTTTTAGAGAGAGAGAGATCACTTCTCATTTTATTGTCCAAGAAGAAAGCAACAAACTCGATGGACTAGTAATGTTCCACAGTAATATTGCATCTAAGAACAGCATAAGCAGCTTTCATGTCCAAAAACGCAGTCTCAAATGTAGCAAAGCCCCTTGCATACCGGAATTGTCCAGTTCCACCGACCACCGCAAGCTCTCTCACATTCACATATAGATAATTAGCACCTTGTATTTCCAGGGTGCTACCATTGAACTCTTTATTCATGAACACAATCGATATCGACACATATGTAGCTGAACCATCCAATGCCGAGGTCACATGGACGCCTTGTCCCCTTGCGATTTGCTCTGAACTCCCTTCAAGGCCTTGGGTTATTGGACTATCGATGCAAAACACAGTTCCAAAGCTCCCAAACGTCCAAAGTTGACCGGGGATGCCAGTGATTGGGACAGTGGTGGCATTGGGTCCTGCAAACCGGTCCTGGAAATATATGGTCATGCTAGTTTCTTTGATCTGGTCAGCCTGAGACGACTGTGAACCTATAAACATCGCTAGAAGGAATAGTATGGACATTTTGATGGGTGTTGTCATTGCATTTGATTCCATTTGGAGATTGGTAGCTAACTCAACAAGCAAGAACTTAGGATAACAATGAAAGGACTAGGTAATTGATGGGATCAACAGGTGCTGTGGCTTGTATTTATAGATTGCGAGAACGCATAGAATTTTCCGTCGGAAGACGAAAAAAATTGAAAAGTAGAATTTTGAGCAACAATAATACAATGGACATATGGAGATATCTTTCTCTTCCTTATCTGATGATGGAGATACCAATATTCTCTTTCTTCCTCTGATTCAATCTATGTGGATCAAAAGGGATCAATCATTTTAGATTCCATCGATACTGGCATATATATATACAGCCGTTTTTCTCCGTTCGTGTCCAAAACTGTGACTAGAGAAATTTCTCTTCAAACTCCCTCATGTCTTAATCGCCGTCCTTTGAAGAATTTATACTGTCTGCATGACTAATTCCGGCTGACTTATATGCTTATCTATTACTTGAAGATTCTATTCTAATTTTGTCGCAGGCGGCTGTAATCTTTTTGGTGATTCCGAAGTTTTACTGAGATTGGGGAAATTGATGACAATGTGTCATTCTGTCTGCTGCTTGTGTATTCCTCCGGTTCAAGTCTGAGAGTCCTTCTTGAACCCTCTTGTCAGGGCTAGGACTTTGATTTAGGATTAATCACATTTTATATTTTGAAAGATTGTTTGAATCTTAATTTGTACTCTCAAAGATCAACAATCTCAATTTATACCCTCAAAAATAGAAATTTATATCAATGTTCACCTCTAAAGATCAAAAATCTCAATTTGCACCTTGAAAAATAGAAATTTATATCAATGTGCACCTCAAAGATAAACAATCTTAATTTGCACCCTCAAAATTAAAAATTTGTATTAATGTGCACCTAAAATTAAATTGATAAATTACACCTAGATCCTCTCATACTTGTCACTAAATCGTTTAGACCTCTTCACATTTAGAATATTACTCCTACATCTTATGACATTTATGCACGTATAACACGTAACCCATTTTCATTGATATCTATTAATATAACCGTTAAAAAATATAATTTTATCCTAATAAAAAATTATAATTTCATATTACCCTTTATTTTATGGGTTCAATATATTCTAAAGTTCAAAATCTAGTTTATCATTTTAATGTCTAATAAAATGTAAATATTTATATAATATTTTTCATATTACCTTTTATATAAATATCTACATTTTATTAGACATTCAAATAGTAAACTTGATTTTCAACTTTAGAGTATATCGAATCCACAAAATAAAAGGTAATATAAAATTATAATTTTTTATTATGATAAAATCATATTTTTTAATCATTATATTAACAGATATCAACGAAAAGTGGTTATGTGTTACACATGCACAAACGTCATGAGATGTAAATGAAATATTCTAAATGTGAAAGAGTTCAAATGATTAAGTGACAAACATGAGGGAATTTAGGTATAATTTATCAATTTAATTTTAGGTGCACATTGATACAAATTTCTATCTTTGAGGGTGCAAATTGAGATTTTTTATCTTTGGGGATGCACATTGATACAAATTTCTATCTTTGAGGGTGTAAATTGAGATTTTTGATCTTTGGGGGTANATCTTTGGGGATGCACATTGATACAAATTTTTATCTTTTAGGGTGCAAATTGATATTTTTTATCATTGGAGGTGCAAATTGAGATTTGAACAATCTTTTAGGGTGCAAAATGAGATTAACCCTTTTATTTATGGTCTGTTCCGTACGATGAGAAAATGGAAGATGAAAAATTGGAGGTATGAAAAGTTAGAGAGATAAATAAAACATCATATTTGATAAGGAAGAAAAATAAGAAGGATGAAAAAATGAATGGATTAATTTTCTTTCCAACTCACCAAAATCAATCCTTCCAAAATTGAAAGAAAAGTAAATGAAAAATTAATTATTTGTGTTAAGATGTATCTTATTTGTCTATATATTATGTATCCATTAATTTCATATAAAAATACAATGATAATACATATTAAAAAATTAAAAATTAAAATTAAATTAAAAATTAAAATTAAAATTTTAAATTAAAAAAATATATTTTTCATCTTAACTAGGGGTGAAACTTTTCGACTGAACACGATGACACGACTCGAACTCGACACAAACTTGATTATAACTCAACACGAACTTGAAAATAACTTAACACGCGAATAAAAAATATAAAAAGCTCATAATTTTATGACTCAAGACGAATCTAACACGACATGATTTGATTGTTACCCCTAATCTTAGCCAGCACAAAAAAAATTAGTCATTTTTATTTTTCATCCATCCAACCAAAGATAAAAGAAGGAAAACGTATAATTTCTACTTTTCATCTTTGAATGATAGAAAGTAATATGGACGAAATTCAAAGCCAGAGCCTTCATGGCCTAGAAGCCTAACCAGCCCAAAAGGTCAGGAGCAAAGAAGAAGAACCTAGCATCAACAGAAGACTTATAACCCAACAATTCAGACCCAATTCAAACCATAAGCAATCCAAAGGTTGGAAGTCTAGCCCAAATGCTACTTCTGAATCACCAATGGGGATCATGCACCCTAAGGATCCAAGGGACCACTCCTGACACTTAAGATAATCTCAGAGAAAGTGGAGTGCCAAGCCACCCGAGATTGTGGCAACGACAGCGCCAGATGAAGAGAGGCGTCAGATGAACAGTGATCGTGGTGATAGAAGAAACAAGAAAGGGCAGAGAGAAGGAATGAAAGATCAGTACTAAGAGAAAGACAGTTGAAGACCCTAGGAGAGACCCTAATATAAATAGAAAACGATAACCCGGCGAGGGGGGATCTCTTCTTGGACCCATAAGCATTCAAGAGCCAAAACAAGGATACCAAGAGTGAATAGCTAGATACTCACCCCTTGTAAGAGGACTTCGGGTCCCTAATTTCAGGGGGCACACCGCCGACCGATTAATATACAAACCCAGGGAGCAAGAGATTCCATTGATAATGGACGTTGCCCTAGTCTATCGGCTAAGGTGAACCACTTACATTCCTTGCCTAACTATTCACGAAAGATTAGTTCATAATCTGCAAACCCTACTCAGAACATCGCCCCATCATAGTTGGGTTTGGGCCATAAATTCCGAGCACCATCAGAAATTATATGCCTACTACTTTTCATCCTTCCTACTTTCCATCATTCCTACCAAACGGAGCATTAGTGAGGAAAGTTTGTAACTCACTCTTAAATCACAATCAAGACTAATTAATTATATTGCAAACACATTAATTCGTCGATATTTGAGTTTGAGGGATCAAAATTTAAACTATAATTTTTCAATTCGATTTTCAAATTTGAGGTTTGATTTTAATTCATATTTGAGACACGTGCAAACACTACAGGGACTAAAAAGAGAGTCATGACATTGAATCATATAGAAAAAGCTTAATTATGATTTTTTTAAGTGAAAAGAATCACACTTATTCACTAAAATATAAATAGTAATATTATTTGACCTAAAAAATATAGTTCATTCGACGACCTAATGATGTGACGGCTAATATAATCCAACAATATTATTCTAATTACAACTTTTTGTAAACTTCTTATTGGGATTACATCTTTTTGAAATGTAATTATGTCATCGAATTAAGTCAAATTCATAGATCCCAAAAATATTATTCAAGTATAAAAATATCAATAAAACTTTATAAATTTTTTATTGGGGGCAAATTTTAAAAAATTTTAAAAATTTCAATTAAACCCAAAAATTTTTAGGATTGCAGTAAGGGCAGTTGCCCTCAATGTAAATTTGCCCCTACCTGTTGTCTACACCCCAATTATCCTTGGGCATAGTGAAGATCTAACGATTTTTTTTCCCTAATCAAAAATTTAGATATACAACACAGCTCAGGACTTGCCCAAAGTCTTCCCGACTCCTAAGTTATATATACTGCTAAGAGCAATGTCATTTAAATTTAATTTATTGACATAATTTGTTGATCTAATTCACAATAAATTTTTGATTGACTATGAATCCCATTAAATATTGAAATTTAGTGTTGGTTCAATGATTCCAATAAAAATATGTCATTAGGTTAGCAAATTATTTTAAATAGTAATACTATGCTGACCAAATTAAGAGTCCAAATGACATAGCAGCATATTATTTAGAGTTTTTATTAGAACCCAAATGACATAACACCAAATAAAGAAGCTTAAGTCAGCTGTCATCTCATTTGAGCTATTAATTTAGTCATTGTATCATTACTGTATTTCAAATTTTCATATCCTAACAGTATTACTCAACTACTAAAAGTGCTACTTGGATACAAATCAGCCTGGTCTAGGATTGAATATTCTCATGATCCAAAGGACTAGTAACTACCTCTGTTACATCCCTGAGAGTCTATTATATATTTTCATTTCATTTATAATTTTCCATCTTAAACCAAGGCAACTTTATTTCCTTCACAGCCCAAAGGATTAAGCCCAAGAGTAATACCTCTAGGGCTTGTTTGGTATGTGGATTTGGGGGAGGGGTATTTTGGAACATGGATTAGGGAATAAACCACCTTAAATCCATGTTTGGCAACTATGCATTTAGTTCAAGGTTTGAAACCTAACCCAGGGGGTGGGTTTCATGTGGGTTAATGGGTTTAACATATAAATAACATTTATACCCCCATATATACAAATTGGTTAAGGGGCATAATAATCATTTATATACAAATATATTATCATAATAATCATATATCTCTACACATACCAAACATGAGTATGAACAACATTAAATGTTGAATCTCATCTTTGGGTTTGAAAGGATTTGGACAAGTCAATCTAAACCCCTCCCAAAAAATATACCAAACAACCCTCTAAGGGGCTTCTCTTTGTATAATGTGGCTGGCCCATTATTCTTCGTTATAGGTGAGGGACTTGTAAGTACATGCATGTAGGATCAATGAAGCATGCGGGCAACGTGGAGGTACTTGTGAGATTGAGAGAGCTCCAGAAGGGACATTGGAGCTCAACAAA